ATCCCAACCATCCTAGCTGAGGCCCCCAGATACATGATTGAGGCCATTCTAAATCATCCAGTCCCAGCTGAGCTGGCCCAGACTAGAACTGACCAGTCAACCCTCAGAAATATGAGAAATAATGTTCGTTGTTTTAAGCCCTTATTTAATTTTGTTTCACAGCAAAAGACAATTGATATAGCAGTATAACATGCAAACAAATAAAACAAGCTATAAACCCCGAATGTAATCAATGGGGAATGGTGAATGAATTTATATCCCTACTGCAGACTATTATGCAATTATTAAGTATCAGGATCTTCATCAGTTAGTCCAGAGTAGCACTGTCCAATAGAAATATAATTATGTCAGAGGCACATATTGAATGGAGCACTGGGTGTTATATGCAAACAACGAATCATGGAACACTATATCAAAAACTAATGATGTAATGTATGGTGATTAACAATAAAATTAAGAAAAATAAATGAAATCAGAAAAAGAAAAATATAATTGTCATGTGTAATTTTAAGTTTTAAGTAGCTACATTAAAAACAGCAAAAGGAGGGGCGCCTGGGCGGCTCAGTCATTAAGTGTCTGCCTTCAGCTCAGGTCGTGATCCCAGGGTGCTGGGATCGAGCCCCACGTTGGCCTCCCTGCTCCATGGGAAGCCTGCTTCTCCCTCTCCCACTCCCCGTTTGTGTTCCCTCTCTCGCTGTTTCTGTCAAGTAAATAAATAAAATCTTTAAAAATAAAAAAATAAAAAACAGCAAAAGGAAACAAGGAAATTAATTTTAATAATATATTTTATTTAACTCAATATATCCAACATGTAATCAATAAAAAAAATTATTTGTGAGATATTTTACATTCTTTTTTTTGTACTAAGTCTTAGGAATCTGGTGTGTTTTTTACACCTTACAGCACAGTCAAATTCAAAAGAGCTACATTTCAAGTGTTCAGTAGCTACATGTGGCTAGTGACTACCATATTGGACGACAAAGGTCTAGAGGCTAGTCTACCATACATGGAAGTTACAGTTCAAATGTGTGATTTCACCCATTACACACTTTTTTTAAAGAAAAGTCATCCAAGTGTACATAACTATGTGGAAGGGGGTGAAAGGATATAACTCAAGTTATTAAAATTGTTTTGCCAGTCAGCTAATTGAGGTTGGAAGGAAAGGGAGGAGATATTTCTTTTATATATGCTGGTATTGTTTAGCTTCATACAAAGGTATATTAAGTTTTAAGTTATTTTTTAAGCTAGATAAAAAGCATAAGGTGAAATAAAAATGAGGTAAAAAGGAGGACACATGAAATGCTCCTAACTGAGGTTACTTCTGGAGTCAGCATAAAGGAAGAATTTTATTTTTTTTTAAATCTTTTTACTGAAGTATAATTGACATATAACATTGATTTCAGGGATACAACATAACAATCTGATATGTGTATACACTGTGATCACCACAATAAACCTAGTTACTATCTATTCCCATAGGTTAACTTTTAGAATTTAATCTCCTGACAATTTTCAGGTACACATTACAATATTATTGACTATACTCACCATGATGTATGTTACATCCTTGTGACTATTTATGACTGGAAGTTTGTATTTCACCCATTTTGACCAACTTCCTAATCCACCACCCCTCTGGTAAATGCCATTCTGTTCACTGTATCTGAGAGTTTTGTTTCATTTTGTTTGTTCATTTTTTTTTTAGATTCCATATATAAGTGAAATCATATAATATTTGTCTTTCTATGACTTATTTTGCTTAGCATAATTTCCTCAAGGTCCATCCATGTTGCAAATAGCAAGATTTCATTCTTTTTAGGGGCTGAGTAGTATTCCATTGTGTGTGTGTGTATGGTGTACACATACTGTGTGTGTATACACACACACACTACATTTTCTTTATCTGTTCATCCATTGATGGACACTTAGGTTGTTTCCATATCTTGACTATTATAAATAATGTTGTGATGAACAAAGGGATGCACATATCTTTTTGAAGTAGGTTTTTTTTCCCAGATAAATACACATAAGTAGAATAGCTGGATCATATGGTAGTTCTATTTTTAATTTTTTGAAGAACTTCCATATTGTTTTCCACAGTGGCTGCACCAATTTACTTTCCCACCAACAGTGCACAAGGGTTCCCTTAAGAATTTTACTTTTTAATACAGGTCTTTTCCAATTTTTAAACTCTAACCACTTATTTTATAATTTTTTAAAGTTACATTTTTTTTAAGTAGGCTCCATGCCCAGCACAGAGCCCAATGTGGGGCTCAAACTCAGGACTGCAAGATCAAGACCTGAGCTGAGATCGAGAGTCCAACACTCAACCAACCGAGTACCCAGCTACCCCTAAAAGTTACATTTCTATGTTAAATTTTTTTTTTAAAAATCGGAATAGTGATTCTTTTCCACAAGGGTTAGGGACAGAAATTGAGTGGGAAAGGGCATACAGAATCTTTTGAGGGTGATGAAAATGCTCTATATCTTTTCATTTTTTTTTAAAGATTGTTATTTATGTATTTGACAGAGAGAGAGACAGAGAGAGGGAACACAAGCAGGGGGAGTGGGAGAGGGAGAAGCAGGCTTCCCACTGAGCAGGGAGCCCGATGCGGGGCTTGATCCCAGGACCCTGGGACCATGACCTGAGCCGAAGGCAGATGCCAAACCAACTGAGCCACCCAGGTGCCCTGAAAATGCTCTATATCTTAAAAAGGGTTAGGGTTACACAGGTGAATGTATTTGTCAAAACTCACAAGATACACACTCAACATTTGTGCATTTCACTTTGTATAAAAAAGTTGTAAAAAATTTGAACCCTAGGGATGCCTGGGTGGCTCAGTCGGTTAAGCATCTGACTTCAGCTCAGGTCATGATCCCAGGGTCCTGGGACTGAGTCCCACATTGGGCTCCTTGCTCAGCAGAGAGCCTGCTTCTCCCTCTGCCTGCCGCACCCTCTGTTTGTGCTCTCTCTCTCTCTCTGACAAATAAAATCTTCAAAAAAACCCTCTTACCTTTAAAAAAAAAATTGAACCCTAGTTAACAATACATATGATGGCATATTTAAAAGTGAAGTGTACTGATATATGTGATTTGCTTTGAAAAGCACAAAATAATAAGATGGTTTGATGATACATGGAATAGGTGGTTATGGCTAGGAATGGCTAGTTATATGATAAAGCAAATATACCAAAATGTCACCTGTAGAATACAGACGGGGGTGGGAGATGGAGAGGGTGGTGGGTTTGGGTGTTACTACAATTCTTTCATTATCTCAGTTTGAAAATTTTCATAATAAAATGTTGGGGGAGAAAAGAAAGTTGCAGAAAAACATAATATTTTAATTTTGTTTTAAAATATTCTTGTGTTGTAGAAGACATATTTATACATGCATAAAGATATGAAAGCCACACAAAACTGTAGAAATTGTCAAGCTGATCCTAAAATTCATACAGAAATGAATTCCAAAATAGCCAAAACAATCTTGAAAAAGGGAATAAAGTTGGAGTCCTGACACTTCCTGATTTCAAAACATAACACAAAGAACAGCAATCAGGACAGTATGGTACTGGTATAGACAGATATATAGATCAATGGACTAGAAATGTAAATGCTTACATTTATGGTCAACTGATTTTCAAGAAAACTTGATGGGAGTCTTCCAATAAACTATATATCCATATAAAAATATTGGGGGGCATCTGGGTGGCTTGGTCAGTTAAGCATCTGCCTTTGGCTCAGGTCATGACATCAGGGTCCTGGGATCAAGCCAGTCAGGCTCCCTGCTCAGCATGTGTCTGCTTCTCCCTCTGCCTCTGCCCCTCCCCCACCTGCTCATGCTTGCTCTATCAAATAAATAAGATCTTAAAAACAAAACACCTTATACATGAATGTTAAATGCAGCATTGTCTTAACATTGTCAACAAGCAGGAAACAATTCAAGCGTCCATCAGCTGGTGAATGAGTAAACAAACATGTCCTATCCATATAATGGAATATTACTGAGCAATAAAAAGGAATGAAATATTGATACATGCTTCAACATGGATAAACCTTGAAAACACTTTGCTAAGTGAAAGAAGCCCGTCATAGAAGGCTATATATTCTATGATTCCATTTATATGAATGTCTAGAATAGGTAAATCTACAGAGACAGAAAGTAGATTAATGATTGCTAGGAGATGGGAGGAATGAGGAATAACTATTAATGAGCACTGGGTTTCTTTTTGAAGTGAAGAAAATGCTCTAAATTTATAATGATGATGGTTACACAACTCTGTGGATAAAAACCCACTAACTGTATACTTTAAAAGGGTAAAATTTTATGCTATGTGAATATCTCAATAAAGCTGTTACTTAAAAAATTTAGTTTGAATGAATAAAAATTTTTTATGAGAAAAACTAAACTCATTTCTTTATGTTTCTTATAATCTCTATCATTACTTAACCATTTTTATGAATGGAGATGAATAAGAAAGAAAATAAGTGTAATTTGAAAAGGTAAGAAAAACAACACACTTAGGGTTTGGTGTATGGTACACAGAGATGACTCTCAGATTTGGGCTGTAACAAGAGGGGTGAAAACTGCAAGGGCACTAACTGCTGCTAAAGAAACACCAGCAGTTTCTAATTTTATGCTGTTCTATATTTTGCTGTGACTTTCATAGCTTTCGATAATGTTATAGTAGAGGCCAAAACAGAAATGCCTTTTATATTTTATTATAAGAGCTAAACTGGGAAATAAACTCACCAATTGCTTTTTTAAAAAGGAAATGAGCTAAAAACAACATAGATGTAAGTGGAGCTTAAATAAACCTTTACTCAGTAAAATGAATGTGTTCACAGGGGAGAGTTTGGTAGTAAAAATAGTTTAAAGTATTACATTATTTTAAAAAGCATTTTGTTTCATTTACTGTAGATGGTCAAACACCATTTTAAAACAGATGGTAAACTGTTGGATAGTAAAAGAAATGACATCTTGTTTCCATTTTCCTATTCCTTCCAGTTCATCTCTTTATTGTAAATGATTTTCCATTGTGGGAGGATATTAAATTTAAATCAAACTGAAAGGAAAAAAGCATGTGGCTATGTTCATAAATTCATGTTTCTTAGCACTTGCTGCCTCTTATAGCCATTTTATGAAGAATATTTCAAATTGATTTATTCTTTCTGGATCTGAAAAAATTGAGTTTCTTTTCTTGAGCAAACAGCTTATTTGAAAAAACCTGTACACAAAAAGAAACAAAAGAATCGTGTAATTATGATATCAACATTTAAAATAAATTTTAATACTTTCAGGAGAAAGATGTACTGATAAGCATTTGAGGAATGGTATTAAATTTAATTTGTAAAGATAATAACTAAGATGCGCAGTGCTTACCATGTTCTTAGATTGTTCTAAATGCCATACATAAGAGAGTATGTACGTATGCTTGCATACATACATGTGTATGTGTATATGAATGTTTGTGTTGCTAACAATTACGTAAATAAATAAATAAATAATTTCTCACAATAACCACACCAAGATGAGGGAACTGAAACAGAACAAAGTTAAGCAATTTGTCCAAGATGAACCCAAAGGAGTTTGACCCCACCATCCATGTTTTTAATAATTACTCTCTGTATATATCAAGAGCACTGAGAACATTAAACAAGCCAATAGATCGTTCATACGTCCTGTTCTGAACTTCCCTCTACAAAACACCAAGTTCTTTTTTTGGACATATGATACATCTGAAATTTATTGTAAAGTTCTTTTACAAGAAAGGAGGTAACTAATTTCTGATTTTGAACCCTCTTTTACCTATGACAAAACTTTCTAGATTCACAGAAACCAAACAGTTTTTCAATCTAAAGCACATTATTTTGGATCAAATGTAAATACATTAAAAAAACATACGCTGGAGGGGCACTTGGGTGGCTCAGTCAGTTGGGCATCGGACTCTTGGTTTCAGCTCGGGTCATGATCTCATGGGTTGTGAGATCAAGTCTACTCTGTGCTCAGCAGGGTGGCTGCTTGAGATTCTCTTCCTCTGTCCCTTCCCTCACTCATGTTCTTTCTCTCTCTAAAATAGATAAATCTTAAAAAAAAAAACTGGAGACGTCACTGAGGGAGGCAGTACCAGGAAGCACAAGGACCAACAGGTAGGACTAGAGTAGCTTGGAGAAATCCCTCTCACATGTGATGCCACTCCAGTAACCCAACCCCCTCCTGAACAGGGATCTGAGAATGTGCCAAGATGCCCCCTAGCCTTCACCAGGTGGGCCTGTATAATGCGTCCATGTGCAATAACGAGGGATGTCTTTTATTTTCTGCTACCTCTTCCCTGCCAGTGCACTGTTGGGGCAGAGGGAGAAGGTATTTTCAAGACAAAGCACAAGCAGCACAAATAAAAGGGGTGAAGTTGCAAAAAAAATTGAAATTAGGTTAATAAATCCATATCTTTATTTTCCAGATGGTTAACCACTAATCCACATGATAGAAATAAATTTTTATATAAAATTGTATCTACTTTGGATTTTTAGCTTAAAAAAAAGGAAAACATACTTCTTTTTTACAAGTTGTCTATATTTTTTTAATTGAAGTATAGTTGACATACAATGTTAACATTAGTTTCAGGTGTACCACATAGTTATTTGATAACCCTATGCCTTATGCTATGTTCACTACAAGTGTAGCTACCATCTCTCACATCCCCAACACTATTACAATGCCACTGACTATATTCCCTATGCTATACATTTTATCCCTATGACTTATTCATTCCATAACTGGAAACCTGTACCTTCAATTCCCCTTCACCCATTTTGCCCACCCATCTACTGCTCTCCCCTCTGGCAAACAACAGTTTGTTCTCTGTATTTAGTTATAGGTCTGATTCTGCTTTTTGTTTGTTTGTTTGTTTGTTTTGTTTTTTAGATTCCACATATAAGTTAAATCATGTGATATTTGTCTTTGTCTGACTTATTTCACTTAGCATAATACCCTCAAGGTCCATCCATATTGCCAGAAATAGCAATAATATTCCATTGTATTCTTTATCCATTCATCTATTGATGGACACTTGGTCCAGATCCTGGCTATTTTAAATAATGCTGCAATAAACAAGGGATGCATATATCTTTTTGAATTACTGTTTTTATTTTCTTTGGGTAACAGAATTACTGGATCATATGGTATTTCTATTTTTAATTTTTTGAGGAACCTCCATAGTTTTCCACAGTGGCTGCACCAATTTACATTCCCAACAGTGCACGAGGATTTTGTTTTCTCCACATCCTCACCAACATTTGTTATTTCTTGTCTTTTTGATTCTAGCTATTCTGACTGGCATAAGGTGATATCTTATTGTGGTTTTGATTTGCATTAAGGAAAACATACTTTTTAAGATTATACTCAACTTCATACAACTAATTAGCTAAAAACAATTCCCAAAGACATTTTTATTTTGAGAGATACACAAAGGTTGCCTTCCTATATGCCAACTCTAGAACCAGATTGCTCTATGACATTTTTCCTAAAAGCATTCATTTAAAACATTTTTATCTTGTGTCAACTTCAACTGATTGATAGTGAATGGCTGGACTTCTGTGTGTAGAAGGAACCTGAGGCTGAGTTCAAGCTGAACAAGAATGAATTTGGTATCAGCTGTCAATATCTGCCATAGGTATGGGTAGAAAAAGCGATAGCACAAGTGCTATGTATTTACCATCCCTGAATTAGTGGATACAATTCCTTTTTTTTTTTTAAGATTTTATTAAAATCTTAATATTTATTATTTATTTATATTTGAGAGAGCATGAGCGGAGAGATGGACAGAGGGAGAGGGACAAGCAGACTCCCCACTAAGCAGGGAGCCTGATGCAGGGCCTGATCCCAGGACCCCGATACCATGACCTGAGCGGAAGGCAGATGCTTAACTGACTGAGCCACCCAGGCGCCCTAGTATATAAAATTTCTATACAAAAAAACTCCATCACTTGTAGTTTATACCAGAGCTTAAAGTAAAACTGAGAATACACATATACCAGACCAATAAAGACCATTTTTAATAAAAATAATACCATCTTACTATACCATAAAATAAGAAACTAACACTCCAAATTAGTCTCCAAATGTTTAGGAAGTGAACTGTGGATCAGCCACATCACGTAAGGGTGAAAGAAGGAAAACCAAAAATTTGTGTTCAAAGGAAGCAAGCTGGGGCCAAGATTAAATGGAAGTAAGAGAGAAAACTGGGCACAGGTAGGGGGAAAAAACATTCTATGAAGGAAGAGGGACAGGTACTACAGAAAAGCAAAAGTAAAGGTTTCTTTCTTGTCAGGGTAAAGAGCATTAAGAAAAAAACATTCAAAACTTGGAAATAGGCAGAAGAGATTACTGGGATCATTCCAATGGAATACAAGATATAATTTGGCAGACCACTAGGGACAGGATAGCTGATTGTGTAGGGACGTGCATCTTAATTTGACTTTCTATTGACTAGGGTATTTTACAACTTTATAGGGGTAGTGGTTAACTTGCAGGTCACTGACAACAAAGCAATTGCTCTTCCTATCGGAGAGCAATGCAAATGATTCCTGTCCTTAGTCATATAAATACAAATCTCCTGGTAGAGATTTAACTCTTTTCCATCTAGAAAAAACATAACCCAAAATATTATGTCTCTTACCATGCAGAAATTTGCATCTACTGACAAATTAGTTTCAGCATTCCTTTGACTATATATATATTCTCTGTCCCTGAATGTTTCTTTGAACCAATCTTAGTATCTTATATGTTCTCATAATTAATGAGTTGCATATTTGAAATATTTTCCTATTATATTTGAATAAAAGCCATGTTTTTAAATTTTTGAAAATTATATGCTAGCAAGCGTTTGTATAGAAATAATAAACTAGATAAACAGGGAAAAAAGAGTTACAGAGGACCTAATAACAGGTAACAAAGTGACAGCAAAGGAGTGCCACTATGCAGTAACAAATATCTACTTTGTTCTAGAACGATGAAATGGTGACTGAGCACTTATTACTAAGAATTTATGTGTTGCATATATGAGCTGACTATGCAGGTATCCCCTTTTAAAAAGCAATTTCTGAAGCTATAATATTCATAAAGAAATGGCAACTTGAGACACCTGGATGGCTGTCAGCTAAGCGTCCGACTCTTGGTTTGGGTTCAGGTCATGATTTCACAGTTGTGAGATTAAGCCCTGCATCAAGCTCCACACTCAGCGCAGTCTGCTTCAGATTCTCTCTCCCTCTCCCTTCTGCTCACACACTCTCTCTCAAATAAATAAATAAAATTTAAAAAAAAAGAAAGAAATGGCAACTTACCTATAAAGGAAGGCTAAAGAAGTGGGGAAACCAGCAGACCTTACTAATAAGGAAGACTAGGGGGAAGGATTCCAGGTAAGAACAATCCATGGTGTAGAATGCTATAAAAATGTCAAGTAAGATGAGATCTGAAAAGTGTCCATTCATTCATATATTCAATAAATATTTATTGGGTTCTTAGTATATGCCAAGAACTGTATTAGTCATGAGGATACAGTAATAAAACCAAAATAGTCCCTCCTGACATTGAGTATAGTGGAAGAGACAGACATTAAATAGCTATTTTAAGAAATAAGTATTCAGAGATTCCAGTGCCAGGCAAGGAATAGTCCACTAAAGGGTTTTTTTTTTTTTTTCTGATGGGCATTGATACCTCCTAGCTCAATGTGCCCCTCAAATTTCCAGTGATTTTCCACAGAGCTGTGCCCCATACAGGCACCCCTTTAATAGGCCAGGTTTCCACTGCCCTTCATTGGCCATTGTCCATGAGTTGGTAAAAATGAAATCTAGGGATTGTTATGATTCATTGTCCAATTCTTCCACCACTGCTAAGAAAACAGTAGGCAAGTCAGCCCACCTAGCTGATTTTTACCTTCTCTGATCAGAGTGGTGGTCTTCCTAACAGGATTTTGTCCATTTACCTTACAACTGCCATCCATGAACCAAGGAGATATTTGTTGGTCAGCTGAGAGATGTCCATAGGGCACGGTCCACGTGATGAAAGAATCTGGAGGCTCTTCAAAATTTCAAAGTCAGGCCTAGGGTTTGAAAAGAGGCTCCCTATTGTTAAGTACATCATCCTTGCATTTCATGGGTAGCATGACCCTGTACAAACGATTTCCATTTTATTATGGAACTATTCTGGGCACTGCCCTCCCCAATACAG